GAGTCTTGCGTTCGAAGTGCGCTACAACTGCCATGTACCTCACATTTATTTGCCATTTCACATGCATAGGTGTGCATGAGCACTCTCAATTCGAGGTTGGGGGGGGGGGGGGGCAGCCTCCGCGCCCTAAGCCCTTGAATTGTAATAGTAATCGCGCGATGCGGTTCACTACGGCGGATGTGTGCTCTCGACCTCCCCCGTCAACATCCTACACGAGATGCCGGTACCGCTGAGTGTATGCAACACTATCGGCCTGCGGGGACGAGAGAGCGCGATGAACAACATCACCCACAGATTTCGAAGAATATTCATTTGCTGTATCGATCGCATACTGCTGGTGAGCTCTGTCGATCTCGTGGTTGGCCCTCTTTCCCTTTTCCGTGGCACATCCTGGCCAAGTCGACTCGTGATTGTCTGTTGCTTACACAACTCGCTCCACTCGCCATTTTATATTCGCGACACCAGGCGGCAGCGGTACGTGCGACGAAGGATTTGAGGGCAATGCCGGAGGTGACGACACCACAGGTGAAGCCGGCAGTGGAGCCGGTGATCCAGCGAGCGACGGGTCGGCGACGGTACCACCCTGGCTGGGACATTTGCACAAACTCATCGAGGAATACATGAACGCAGAGGTAGTCGACGGCGAAGATCTGAATTTTGCTGGTTTGGCGCTAGGCAGCCGCTTTTTTCCCTGGGCGAACCTCACCGAGATACTCGTATCGGTATGGGCCATAGTCTGCAGGCCGTCAGGTGGAGTGCGAAAGGTCGCGTAGGCGGGGTCGAGGTCACGAAGGAGTTGACAGCTGGCCGTCTCTGCCGCTTCAGGAGGTGTTCAAGATCTTGCCGTTGCAGACGACTCCAGCAGCCTCGGAAGACGGCACGACGGGAAGAAGGGGGGGGCGGCCGCACGGTTACCAACAGTGGGGTGCCGGGTTGGGTCCAACTCGGCTCGAGACCGGTCTGGACGCCCCGGCATGGCAGCAGGCGATATCGAAAACATTGCCATCCGCCGAGCAACTAGAAAAGCGCTACGACGATGCGCTTGGGTGTGGTAGGACCTCGCAGGAGGCGCCATGTAGTAGGCGGACGTGCCCTTTTTGCTGGAGGAACAGAGGCCAAGGTATCGTCCGTCAGACGGTCGTGGTGTTTAATCATTGGGGCCAGGCTCCGGCGGAAGTCAGTGCTGGAATCGGCACCATCCGTGGCGGCCCGGTCAAAGACGCGGGTACCCCTACGTGGGTCCGGTCGGCGGCATCGCGTGGCAATGACGTCGAGATGTACCTCAAGGCCGAAGACCAGCGAGCTGGAAACCAAGGGCTAGGTCGCACGACTCTCGGGAAAGTGGCCTATTTTTTCGAGCACCAAGGCAACGACTGGAGACGAGGTGATAGCAGCAACGCCATTCCGGAGGGAGAATTCACCATTTGGGTGGCGGTGGCGGAGTATGTGACAGCAGGAGTTGGCAACAAGCGCAAGGTCGATCCGGTGACCGGTTTGGACATGCTTCGGATGCGCACGTCCCTTACGTTTTTCCCTGCCTCGGCCATCCGGTGCGTAGTACATATGATGCATGCCTGTTCCACAACTGGGACATCCGCCTGCCGCCTGGTCGACGAGGGAGCAAGCGGCCGGTGTGGCGGTGCAACCTGACAGGAAACCCGAACTACCTCCTCAACAAGTACTTCCACAGTGTTCTGCGGGACTCCATCGCCTGAGCCGTGAGTGACGACGGGTTCGTTGTATGCGATCGACCGTATGCATACCCTTCCTGTCTCCCCTGCCTCCGCAAGTTGTCTGAGATGGGAACCTAGAGCAACCTAGAGCCATACGGCAATCAAGTGATTTAGTTTCATTTCCCTCCTACACCGCGGACGATCGATGTTTTGTGGTTTGCTGGAAAGAATCTGCAATTGAATGGCCTTTTGCTTCGCATCGAGCAAGCCAAGGAAGGGATACCACCGTACGTTTAGGTTCTTCATCGGAAGTAGTTGGGCTACGGGGGGGGGACTGACAAAGGATCGTGCCCACAACTGTGGAAATTGTTTCGCCTCTCTGACACACGCACACATGCACCAGTTGCCGCTTGCAATGAGCCTGATCCCCCGTCATGTACTCGAAAATTCTCGGTGGGAAACATGGAGTCCTAGGTTTCGCCTTGGTCTGGTATTTTACTCTCGTTTTCTGCGACTACCAGGGCATTCGATGTCCATGCATGGAATACCGTAATCCGATAATATAATAACATGTTGTCTTTGCTCTGTTTTTTAGTTGCATCGCCGGCGTGGATATGTTGCCGTCTACGCCCGACGGGCTGTTTCGCATTCGTGCTGTTTGTTTCTGGGTCCTTGGTTGTTCTCTTTGGTTTGTCCTAGAGTGTGCCCTCTTTGGGTATATAGGTAGCTTCCAAGCTGTGACCACGGAAGTCGTCCGCGCCATCTGTACTCGTAGGGATTGCTCCATATTGGAGGCAAGGAGCAACAACAACAATCCGGAGGCTAAGACCGCTCTTTGATTCTCGGACCCTACTGACGAGGTACCCCTCCCTCCACTTCCTTGCGCAATTCCACGCTCCTACTTTGTAATCAATCAGGTCTCAGGATGGGGATACGCGTAGATGACATTCCGGTGCTCTACAGATTTTCTCCTGTTTTTTATCGACTTCTCGAGTCGCGGGTCTCGTTGGGCGGAGTCAAGCGGGAGGGCGGGGGAGGCGCAAGGAGTGCGGGATGGGGGCGGAAGGCCACGCCGCAAGGCTGAGCTGCTGTGGAAAATGATTCGGCTTGCTTTAGGACGTGTATTGTCGGGGGCAGCCTGCAAAAAGCACTTCCGGGCCCACCAGAGCCTCTTTGGGGGACAGGCGGGTCGGGATATTTTCGCGAGGAAGGTCATGGCAGGATAAGGGCACAGCCACTACGGTATGGCCGTAGACCGCCATTTTCGATTGTCGTGGTTGTCTTTGGTGTTGACCGTAAGCAAAGCGTCAGGTTGGAAAAATGAAGCTCTCGGAGAGGCCTAAACGTGTGTGTGTGTTTTTTTTGTAAATGCTCCTGGAGTATTTTTTGGTTTTGGGAAAAAAACAAACATGTTTTGCGGGGATCGAACTCCCGACCTCCTCCTTACTACGCGTGTGTATGTCATTCGCCTTCGAGATAATTTCGCCCCTCTCCCCGGCGAACTTTTTACTGCGTGCGGGATCCCCCGGCTTACGTGATCGAGCTCACGTTTCGGACCTGAGGGAGTACCATATTTTTTTCGTTCATGGCCCAATCAATCATTCTCGTGTGGTGTACTCCTTCCTTGTGTGTGTGCTTCGTAATCCTTGTGTGGGATTGTTCCTGGCCTCGACGCGAAGGCTCGCGTCGCTGGGTGGGGTGATTGTCACCCAGCTGCGCGGGCGAGCTTGCACCCATTTGTTTTGGATCGAGGTTGCCAGCCCGACAAGGCAAGGTTAAAATTGATTTCCTAATCCGATAGAAAACCGGCGGTTGGTAACCCAGGATGAAGACGTTATACCGAGTATATCCAACCTGGGCAGGTTATGCGCGGGCATAACCTCCCATAACGTGCCCCACTGGTCACCTGTGCACGTACGGGCTTTCCTGCCCGAGGATCGCCATATCGCAATTACCTTCGTCACGTCATGCGCCTGGAACCTGTAACTGAAGTTGCATATTTCTATGATAAAATGATGCGCTTGGGCAAGAATGTGCTCGTCCCATCGTTCCGTTTCTTGATCAGAGCTACAGAACTGCTCCAAAATCAAAGTCATTTTTACCACCTGGCTGTTAAAGGTGACTTGCACGACAGTCGTTTCACTTTTATAAAAGTCCCCAAACTGACTGTTAGTAATGTGCACCCACCCCACTTTCATAAGAGTCAGCTGCCTGTTATAACAGTGTGAGAACTGACACCTCACTTTCATAAGAGTCAGCTGACTCTTATGAAAGTGAGTGAACTGACTGTCATAACAGTGAAATAACGATGACTGTTATAGGAGTGAGCCGACTGTTATAACAGTCAATTTACTGTTATAACAGTCAAATATTCACTTTTATAACAGTGAATCCATATACTTGATTGTGTGGGAGCCCGTCCCCCCCGCGTCTGCTGCAGTGGTGCAGTGGTGCAGAACTGCTGTGTGCGGTGTGCTGTGTGCTGTGTACTGTGTGATGTACGCAGTGTGTGCATGAACAGCACGCTCTAACCATGGCGCTTGTGCTTCGATTAGAGTCTTGTTCGGCGAGATACCGCTGGTGTGGTGTTTAGCCTTATCCACCCCACCTGTGGGGCATACACTATGCATTGCGTTGTTTACCCCACCGGCCGTAGCACACCAAACCTTTAGCGTTCGACCTCACCATGGATCCTACGATAACCCTGCAAAGCAGCAATACATTCGTACATGTCTTGTGTTAATTGGAGTCTTGTAGGGCTACATACGGCAGTGGGGAAGTCTGCCTGCAAGCGAATAAAAGGCAGTGTTCGCTACCCACTTCGGGTGTTTGGCGTCATGCGGCGGGATTTCTTGACCTGTTCGGCGCCCCAGGTGCTGCACGCTGCTGTGCGCTGTGCGTGCATCGACCACACACTCCTACAGGTGGTTGTGTGTCGATTGAAGCCTTGTAGAGGGAGATCCAGCTGGTGGGGTCAATATCGTCATCGACCCCCAGTGGGGTAGCGGCAGTATATGCCCCACCAACCGTGGCACCACGAAAACTGTGCCGTTTCGGCCTCACGATGGGTTCAATGATAGCCCTGCAACGCAGCAGCACACCCGTTGAAGTCCTGAGCTGATTGGAGTCTTGTAGAGCGAGATACAGCCGGTGGGGTGTTTAAGCCTTAACCACCCCACCGGTTGGGGGGTTAAGAAATTACCCCACCGGTGGGGTGTTTAGCCGTGCCGTTTACCAACCGTCAGGGACCTATCTGAGCGGCGCGGTGAGCGAGACTGCGGTGGCTTGCCGCCGCTTATCTTACTGCACCCTCCCCCCTCGTGCTAAATGCACGCAGCGGTGAGGTCACAAGAGTAGCGGGACGAGAAAATAGGAACACGGCCGACACGATGGATGTTGGACACGAGTACACACCTTTATATGGAGAGTCACGTGCTGGTCGCTTCCCCAATGCTTGCGCCGTGTCCCGTCCCGCCCTTTTCTAAACTGCCGCCGCTACTGCGTTAGGCGGCTGCTGCTGTCCTTCCGTTGCTTCACGCGCTCTGTAGCTGTCACACGTTACCCGACTTTGCTACAGCCCCTGCGTGGACTCGATCACGGAATGACACCCCCAACTATAGACTAATAATTCCAAACACCGTGACCCTGGGTTTCCGGTAGAAAATGAAGCCAAATTCTAATTCGACTGTTACAAAATAAACACCAGTTTATTTTGTTTTCTTTCGAATTGCTTCATTATTTCTTCGGTTTCTAGGCTACGTGTTGGGGAGAGAGACGCACGAAACGCTCATCGTCTCTCCGGCCGCGTTAGCTGCAAAGGCCGGCATCAACTCTTACAAATCCATCTCTCTCCCCACAAATACTAGCCGGGGGACTACGACTGCAAACGCAGGAGTCCCAAAACTGACCAAGTCCTCAAATGGTACACACCATTCTACAACACCTGACTAGATACCGAATATTCCCGAACTTATGCCCCCACCTTCGAAAGAAAAGGGATGGGAGGGCGGGATTTTCTAAACTGCCGCCGCTACTGCGTTAGGCGGCTGCTGCTGTCCTTCCGTTGCTTCACGCGCTCTGTAGCTGTCACACGTTACCCGACTTTGCTACAGCCCCTGCGTGGACTCGATCACGGAATGACACCCCCAACTATAGACTAATAATTCCAAACACCGTGACCCTGGGTTTCCGGTAGAAAATGAAGCCAAATTCTAATTCGACTGTTACAAAATAAACACCAGTTTATTCTATCTGCTTCGACGAACAAACCTTCCTTTTATTTTGTTTTCTTTCGAATTGCTTCATTATTTCTTCGGTTTCTAGGCTACGTGTTGGGGAGAGAGACGCACGAAACGCTCATCGTCTCTCCGGCCGCGTTAGCTGCAAAGGCCGGCATCAACTCTTACAAATCCATCTCTCTCCCCACAAATACTAGCCGGGGGACTACGACTGCAAACGCAGGAGTCCCAAAACTGACCAAGTCCTCAAATGGTACACACCATTCTACAACACCCACATCGAGGTCAGTTTCTGGACGACTACCGAATAAGTCAACTATCCGTTCCCCCAGACGGTCCCCTCCCCCGGCTGTCTCGATACGATCCTACTGCCGTCTGTAAGTTTCTGTGACACTCGCCGCGAATCCTCTACATTGTTTCACGCGTACGGCTTGTATGCATCCGACCTCCACTTCCCTTCTCTCTGAATCACTCGTTCTGCGATGTCTCCGCCCGATGCAAGAGCCGTCGCGCCTCCAATTCGCAACGAGTGCAACGCGTACTCCTGGGGGTTACGCCCCGACTTCGCTACCACTTCTCTGAGTGCACGGAGGGCAGCAGTATACCTCACTACTCTCACTGCTCTTCCACTACGGTACGAAGCCAACGGTGCGGAGTCAGGGAACGTCGCATGACACGATAACAGCTCCACCACAAGAGCCACCGCGCCGCCGCGTGCTCTCACACCTGACTGCGGTCCGGTGACTTCGTCTCGCGTACGAACCCGTATGTTTCCTTTCTGCTCTTGATCGGCCTTGTGCCCTCTAAACCTCATTTCGACACGGTCTGCTCTACGATAGTGACTAAAGACTAATTGCGTCTCGCCAGCAAACAATGCTACGTCCGCCCTCGTAAGACAGTGTGCCTCATGCACCCTGCCCGCATCATTCGCGAACACCTCATCAGACCGTGTGATAAAGAGATAAGACAAGCACAGACACAGCCACATCACTCTGCCCCCTTCCCCCCAGTTCTGGCTTGCGCTTTCCCCGTCCAGCAGCATACGCCAAGACACAGGCAGGCGCACACGGCGTACCGTCCCCACAGCCACGTGGTTCCTCGCAATCCCCCTTAGCGCACATTTCAACATCGGAGACAACAAGTCTAGCTCGACAGAAGCTTCCAGCCTATGAAAATGTTGTACAGCCGTGAGTTTTCCGGATATTGTACTCGCTAGATTACCCTCAGACTCGAAACACCAGGCTACGAAGTCTATCAACTCCCACACATGAAGGTCCCCGGCACGTTGCCCTAGGAACTTGGGCTTCTCCGTCAGCCTGTGAAACGTGCACCAAGAGTTGAAGCCTGACGTGTAAGTCCTTCTAGACGAAGACGCAACTGAGTGCTCGACGAGCTGCATGCCAAGACGTCGGTAACAAAGTCCCGTCCTGCCTGTCCCAGGTCCTGAACCTGCTGATAGCCCTGGAGCCAACCTCGTGTAGACCAGCGTGCTGCCGTTCGATTTAGCCGCAGGTGCGCTGCATCCGAGGTAGGCCCCCCCGCTACGCGGGAGAGCCCGCACCCCTATTTGTCTTTCCCGTGGGTGAAGAAGCCAGCGGCCTTGGGTCTCGCGCCGCCCTCGCCAGCGGCGCGCGCCTCTCCTCCGCGCCCTCCCCCGTTGCCGTGGCCAACGCCGCGCGCGCCGGTTGCCGGAGTTTCGGACGCTCCGCGCCTAGCGTGGGAAGGGTTCTGGGTGTGGATGTGTGGGCAGTTACGATCATGGCAACCGGACGACGAGTTGAAGGCGAAGCAGTAACCACGAGCGTGTCGAGCGATGCCGCCACTTTCTCTGTCACCAGGACGCCTTTGCGAAGCAAGGATTGCCACTCCATCTGCGACAGTTTTGAAACTGCCGGAGGCCGCCCCAGGATGAGCCACGCTTTTACCCGGCGGAGGTCCCCCCACATCCGCGCTCTATCCTTTGCCGTAGCCTTAGCCGCCTCGGCGCTGGGTGTAGCGGGGGCCCGAGAGGCCGATGGTGGGGCGGTTGTGCCCGCCAGTTGCACCTCCCCCCGGAAGGCCAGGTCCTGCTGCTTGGGTGGCGATCAGGTCGTCGATCGTTGCTTGAAGCTGCTGGCGATCGCCGGCAGCCTCATCGCGCTTCCGCTGCAGCTCCTCCCTCAGGCCGTCCACCAGCCCGCGGAGAGAAGCGAGCTCAGTCTCATCAGCGGGGGGGTCGCCGCGGGTGCCTGTCCCTGGCGCTCGCGAGGAGGATACCGCTCGACGCCTCGCGGGAGTACGTGATCCGCTGCGCGTCGAGGGGCGAGCCGTCGAGCTCGCCACCGATCGCGCGGTAGACCTCCTCGTGCGTGGTGTCGAAGGTGTCGCCGCCCGACCTCGCCCTGCTTGCCCAGCCGCTGCCCTGCCGCTCCGCGTGGAGGCCCGTGTCGGCATCTGGTCGCGGTTGGAGTCGTATAAGCAGCGGACCGGCGGCAGGCGGCGGGCGAGCGTCAGGGCGGCGTTGCGGGAACACTTCTTTCCCTCTTCATCGTGGGCGTAGTCGATCGCGCGCCTGGATCTGCAGTTAGAATGGTCTACAAATCCTATCTTCGGGCGAAACTATCTGACGTGGGTTTTCGTCGGGCCCAAAACGACGCGTTGTTATATCGCGAGCTCGCGTTAGTTCGTTCTCGACGCCTGTGGATTGAATGGAGTGATTATTGCTGCTGACGCTACGGTCACCGGACGTCGACCAATCCCGAATATTTCTCTCTTTGGACCACTAGCGATGGTTTCTCTTTTTTTTTTTTTTTATATATATATTTTCTTGGATTCGGTGAACCCCGGTTCGCCATCGGCACGGGTGCTTCCACTCATTGGCGCGTCCCGTGCTGATACGTGTTTTTTTTTTTTCCGATGCGTTGGATACGGTGAACTCCACTTGCCAACAGCGCGGGTGCTTCCACTCATTGGCGCGTCCCTCGCTGAAACTGACAACACATATGCAGCACGGGTGCTTCCACTCATTGGCGCGACCCGTACTGATACTTGTACGCAGCGCGGGTGCTTCCACTCATTGGCGCGTCCCTTGCTGAAACTGACAACACATATGAGCACGGGTGCTTCCACTCATTGGCGCGTCCCGTACTGATACGTGTATGACTTCGTTTTCGATGCGTGGAGATCAGTTAATTCTACTCGCCAACAGCACGGGTGCGTCCACTCATTGGCGCGTCCCGTACTGATACGTGTACGGCGTTTTTGTTCTTTCTTTTTGAGATCGGTTAACTCTACTCGCCAACAGCACTCATTGGCGCGTCCCTTGCTGAAACTGACAACACATATGCAGCACGGGTGCTTCCACTCATTGGCGCGTCCCGTACTGATACCTGTACGACTTCGTTTTCGATGCGTTGAATTCGGTTAACTCTACTCGCCAACAGCACGGGTGCGTCCACTCATTGGCGCGTCCCGTACTGATACGTGTACGGCGTTTTGTTCTTTCTTTTTGAGATCGGTTAACTCTACTCACCAACAGCACGAGTGCTTCCACTCATTGGCGCGTCCCGTGCTGAGGCTGACATCACATATGCAGCACGGGTGCTTCCACTCATTGGCGCGTCCCGTACTGATGCATGATTTTGTGGTATTTTTCTACCGCTGCGTTGAATTCGGTTAACTCTACTCGCCAACAGCGCGGGTGCTTCCACTCATTGGCGCGTCCCGTGCTGATACATGTACGGCGTTTTGTTCTTTCTTTTTGAGATCGGTTAACTCTACTCACCAACAGCACGAGTGCTTCCACTCATTGGCGCGTCCCGTGCTGAGGCTGACATCACATATGCAGCACGGGTGCTTCCACTCATTGGCGCGTCCCGTACTGATGCATGACTTGTGGTATTTCCTACCGCTGCGTTGAATTCGGTTAACTCTACTCGCCAACAGCGCGGGTGCTTCCACTCATTGGCGCGTCCCGTGCTGATACATGTACGGCGTTTTGTTCTTTCTTTTTGAGATCGGTTAACTCTACTCACCAACAGCACGAGTGCTTCCACTCATTGGCGCGTCCCGTGCTGAGGCTGATATCACATATGCAGCACGGGTGCTTCCACTCATTGGCGC